GGGAAACTAGACAATATTTACACATGTGTGTCTGATTTATTTCACTTATGAATATATCTTCAAGTGGCATCCCGGTATTAGTTTGAATAGGATGGGTGAGTGAAATCCTTTTCTCTCAATTTCAAGGGTTGGCTTTTGAATGTATGCATGCAAATCCAGGTTGAACCCAGGGCTTTTGTGAGCTGTGCCCCCAGCTATGGATAGAGGGGAAGGTTGTAGGCATTAACTTGTGTAGATGCTATTAGATTATACTACCATTCATTTCCTCACATGCTTGCCAGCAAAGAATATGTATTAACCTTTGCAATGTTTTCTACTATTATTGTTTTATCCTTCATTTCCCTTATTAATAATGTTTGACTTCTTTTTAATATTTATGTCTATTTTTATTTCTTTGGAATTGTTTCTTACTCAGTTCTTTGCCCATTTTTACTGATTTCTTTCCTTGTTTTTTAATTTTTTTAAATTTTTTTTTGCAGAACCGGGGATTGAACTCAGGGCCTTGGGCTTGTCAAGGAAGCACTTATTCCACTGAGCCATCTCCCGGGCTCCTCCTTGTTTATTTTAAAGTTCTTCTAAATTTCTATATTTTGGATATCTTTTATTACAAAAGCAAATGTTTTCTCAGTCATGTGTCACTTTGGGTTTTGATGTCTTTTAGTGACATTTTAAAGATTTTTATGTAGTTAAATTTGTCATTCTTTTCTTTATTCTCATTAGCTTTTTTTTTTTTTAACTTAAGAGGCCTTTAATCCAAGACTTAAAATTTTATTTTTGTATTTGATGTATTTTTAGCTTTTTTCCGTTCTAATTCATAATTTATTTGGAATTATGGAGCAATACTCTTAACTTAAGCTTTTAAAAAATACATTAGTTATCTTAGAGCTTTTTTGCTTTACTATATAATTTTCATATATATCCTTTTATGATTTATATCACCTTGGGTAGAATTGGCTTTTGGATGTATGTGTGTGAACCCAGGTTGAACCCAGGGCTTTTGCCAGGAGCTGTCCCCCAATCCTTTTCATTTAGTTTTTGTTTTGAGACAAGGTCTCACCAAGTCACTAAATTGCCCAGGCTGGGCTGGCTGGAACTTGTGATTCTCCTTCCCCAGCCTTTCAGAGTGCTACAATTACCATTGTCTAGCCCCATGCTTGGCTGTAGCTGGTGTCTTGTACCATTTGATCTTCTGATTCATGAACATGGTATATTTCTATTGATGTTTTTTTGTTTCACCAGTGTTTGGTGGTTTTTAGCCCAATGATTCTGAGCTTTTGTTATTTGTAGATTTATACTTATTTCTTTCTTTCTTTTTTTTTTTTTTTTAAGGTGTTATGGTAAACGGTACTTTTTAAGACAAATACTGAATTCTGGTTGTTCACTTGTTGCACATAGGAATTAAAACTTACTTTTGTATTGACTTTATGTCTTGTGGCTTTACAAACTTCAGGTTCTTGTGGGGATTCCTTTGTTTTGCTTTTTGTAACCCCATTGCATTTGTTATATAGGCAATATAGTAATCCACAAGAGACACAAGTTTATTTCTTTCATTTAAATTTCTATACCTGTAGACTGGGTGTGGTGGTGTGTGCCTATAATCCCAGCTCTTGGGAGGCTGAAAACAGGAGGATCACTGTGAGTCTGAGCTGCATAGTGAGATCCTGTACTAAATACATTTTTTTAAAAAAGTAAATTTCTGTATCTTATTTTTCTTGCTTGTTGCACTCATTTAAGAATGCTGATATTAGGTTGAATAGGATGGGTGAGTGAAGAAATCCTTTCAATTTCAGGGGTCAAGTATTAAAACTCACTATGAAGTGTGTTGTTAGCTGTGGATTTCTCTGTAGATTCCCATTATCAGATGAAGAGAATTTCCATTTATTCCTATTTTGCTGAAAGGTCTTATTAAGAATGTGTGTGTGTGTGTGTGTATAATAATATATATAAAATTCCATCAATTTTTTTTCTGAATCTTTGAAATGATCATATGGATTTCTTCTTTCATCTGTTGATATGGTAAGTTACATTGATTGCTTCTCAGATAGTGAACCTGTCTTGTTCTGTCAGAATAAACTACACTTAGTTGTACTGTTTTTCTATTTGTATGTTGTGAGAACTAATTTGCTACTTTTTTTGTTGAGGAATTTTGCTTTGATCTTTGTGAGCAATAGTGCCCTGGCTCTTTTTTTTTTGGTAGGGTCTTTGTTTAATTTTGTTATTAGATTAATACTGATCTATCAAAGTAAATTAAGATGTATTATTTTCCATTTTCTGGAAAACATATATGATGGGTATTATTTATATCTTAAATATTTGATAGATTCCATCAGTAAAAGCACCTGGGCCTACAAGTTACTTTGAGAGGTTGGTGTAATTATGAATCTCATTTTTAAAATTAGATTATAGGAGTATCCAGACAATTTAATTCTCTAGTGATGAGTTTCAATAGTTCATGTCTTTTAGATCATTGGTCCATTTCACCTCAGGTGTCAGTTCCTGGCCATTGTTAATAGTATTCTTTTATCTTTTTGATGTCTGTGTATTCTGTATGGCTGTGTGCTCTTTCGTTTCTTTCATGGATAGTGTGTGTGTGTGTGTGTGTGTGTGTGTGTGTGTGTGTTGGTAAAATTAGCTGGAACCTTAGCAATTTTATTATTTAAAAAGACCCAACTTTTGGCTTCACTAAGTTTCTTTATTATTTTACTCTTTTCAATTTCACTTATTTCTGTTCTTTATTATTTTCTATGTTTTTGTTTTAGATGTAATTTGTTCTTTATTTTTTAAAACATGCTCTTAAAATTTTTCTTTTTTTAATCTTTCTAAATTTATTATAAAAGCTTAGGTTATTTACTTTAAAATGTTCTTTTCTGATATAACAGTACAGTGGTATAAATTTGCTCTATGTACTGCATGCCCAAACATTTTGATTTTTTAAAATTTTCATTCAAGTTTAGCTTGAGATCTTTTTAAATTACGCCAAGACTTTTTTGTTGGCCCATAAATTATTGAGAAGTGTGATTTAATTTCCAGATATTTGCAGAAGATGGCCACATATCCTTTTGCTGTTGATATTTAATTCTGTTATGGTCTGAGAACATACTTGGGATGATTTTAAATTTATTAAGTTTGCTTTATGGCCCAGGAGATGGCAAATGATCCATATGAAAGGTCCCTATGAAATGTGTATTCTGCTGTTAGCATATGTAATATTGCAGGTAATTAACTTGTTAGATTTTCATTTCACTCACAATTTATTTACATTTTGTCTATATTTTCATTAATGGGATTTACTAGAAATTGCTATTTTATTGCTTTGCTTCAAAAAATTATTTCTGTACCATACTGTCTATTCCTTTCTCATTTTCTTCTCTATTTTAATCTATTTTATTTATGACTACCATGGGGTTTCCCATTAATGGTCTAAGGTTATAATAATCTGGTTTCAATTGATACCAACTGAGCTTTAATAATACATAAAACTGTGTTTCTATGCAGCTCTGTCTTGTCTGTATCATTTATTATCACATTGAATCTCTACATTTCATACTTAATAGATTTATAATCTTTGTGCACTTTTCTATAACTATGTGGACTTTCATGTGTAGCGGCCTTTATAGTTAGCTTTTTAAAAGTTACTTATTTCTCAGAAGTCATTTATTTGAGGAAAGTATAGGTATATTTTCTCCTTTAATTTTATTTTTAAAGGATAGAGGTTTTTTGCCCAGATAGAGAAGTCTTGACTATTTCTGTTTTTCCTGAGCACCGACTCTGGCAGCCCATTGACCTGGGTGTCCGTGGTTTCCGATGAGAAGTGAGCTGCTTGTCTTACTAAGGCTCCTTGTATGAGTGTGCCTGTGGCGGTTTGCTTATATTGCATCTTGATTTAGTTCTAGTTTGTTCTATTTGGAATTTGTTGAGCCTTTTAGGTATGTAAAGTTTTTAGCTATTATATTTCCAAATATTCTTTATTCATTTCTCCTTTCCATCTCAATCAATCAGTCAATCAATCAATCAATCCATCCATCAATCAATGTTTTTGATAATGTCCTGCATTCTCTTCTGTTCTCTCTGTTCATTTTTCCTCTCATTTGGATCCACAGACTAGATGACTTCAATGGAATCCTTTTTAAGTTTGGTAATTCTTTCCTCTGTCTGCTCCGATGTTCTCTCTAAACCCTCTAGTGGTTTGGCCATGTAAGCTATTGTGTTTTCTGGCTCCAGAATTTCTGTTCGATTCCTTTTTAATCATTTGTTTCTTTAGTTTTTCTATTTGTGGAGTCATTTTTCTCCTGTCTTTCTTTAAGTCTTTGTCCATGGCTTCTTCTAGTAGTTTTTGAAGCCTTTTTCCAGTGTCTGTGATTTTTCAGGAGCAATTTCTACTAATATTCTCTGTGGATGGGATGTAACTTATTGTTTCTTTGCAGGTTCTGTAACTATGCCAGGGTTTGCTTCTGGGTGGGTTTTTTTCCCTTGTGCATACTTTATTTTTTAGAAGCGAGTCATGAAGTCCAGCCATTGCAGTGAGAGGTACTAAGCTGTCCCTCATGGAAAGGGTATCAGCCCATTTGTAGTTGGCAAAACCACCGCCATGGGTGACTGTGTCAGCGGAGATCCTGTGAGCTAGGCATCGGGCCTGTTTCTTTTGCGTCACTCATAAATGTTAGCTTCCATCTGTGGATATTTTGTATAGCACTTACTGCTACAGTCTTCTAATAGTGATTTTTAAAAATATTTCCTTTAATTTTTAAAATTTACTATTTGTGTTATTCTGGAAGGAATTCATGTCCCTTCTTTGCTGTTTGCTTATTCACTCCTGAGTCAGCACATCTTTTCTCTAATGGGTTTCTAAGCACATTCGCCACTGTGGGTGGCACAACCGTGTCCCAGCAGCTCCCTGTGCTGTTGCAGTGGGAGAGCAGCCACCGAAGTGAGAGTGAGGCGACTTGGGCACACTGCAGTCAGCCTTACCCCAAAGGCGGGCATCAGGCCATGGTCAGGCCGTAATTTGCCAACTAGTGATTAATTAATTTGTTTATTTATGTCATGCAGGTTTAAGGGTATCTATTGTAATATAGGATCATAATGCAGCCCTGTC